ACCGCGCGGGCGATTGTGCGCCCAGGCCCCGTGCTCTGAGATGGCACGACTGGGTCAGCCTGAACCCTGGGACAGACTCTGAGGGCCCCCCAGTTTTTCGGCGCAGTTTGTATTTCAGTGTTTGCTACGATGAGTATCCGCCGATGGGCGGGTGCAAAGGACACCCGACGGCCATATGCCGTGTGCGAGACGAAACGCGCTCTCAAGGCCACCTCCTGTGCACCACCTTTTCGCCAGACCGCCCAGTGTGAGCCGCTCGTGTTATGTTTCCGACGTGGCGCCTGCTCGAATGAGCCGTGCTTCAAGCTGGCGGTTCGTTGCAAAGTTGTTCCAAGACCGTGTGGCAGAGGAGCCCTATCCCGCATTCGGCGCGGCCTCCATCCCCAGTACAGTTCGGGGGACACAGTGGCTGCTGGGTCAGGCATGACGTGCCCTGCTTCGACCAAACGCATGTTGCTACCAGCGGCATCTGTCTGCACCGCCTCCTCACCTGCGAGCGCGCGCCTCATTCCCGCAGCGGATATGGAGGCACTGGCGGCTCTCGCGCCCCAGCGCGAGAGGGCCGCAGCTGCGGCTCGACGCAGCTAAGATGTCAGTTCCTGTTTTGCCTTGGAGGTCTTCTGGGGAAAAAATGCTCCTCCTCCTCCTCACTCCTCTCCTCCTCCTCCTCCCATCCTCTCCCTCCTCCTAATCCTCCTCCCCCTCCTCCTCCTCCGCCCTCCCTTCCCTCCTCCTCCTCCTCCCTCTTCCTCCTCCTCCCTCTCCTCCTCCTCCTCCTTCCTCTCCTCCCTCCTCCTCCCTCCCCCTCTTCCTCCTCCTCTTCCTCCTCCTCCTCCTCCTCCTTCATCCTCCTCCTCCCCGTCGTCGTCCTCCTCCTCCTCCTCCTCCTCCTCGCCCTCCTCCTCCATCTCCCGCTGAGGGTGGGGCGCGAGGGCTAGAAGATATTGGCGCATGGCGGAGCGGGATGCACGAGGTTAGGTGACCTGGGAACCTCGGGCCACGACCCTCGAGCCTCGCACTTCGACGGCGGCGGCGGCCGCCGCGGCGGCGGTGGTAAAAGTTTGGCGCCAGGTCCCCTCCCAGCACCCCTGGCGGCACCCTCGACGCTGCCCCTGGCACGCTCCGGGGAAGGGCGGGAGTGGGTGGGGAGTTCTGGCGCTGGCGGGGTTGTGCCGCCCCCGTGGCGGCAGAGGCTTGCGTCTGTGCGAGGGTGTGCGCGCGTTCCCCGCTCTTCCGTTGCTTTCTTTTTCGCAAGCGCCTTCTCTCTCGCATAATTCCGCGTCCGTCGTCCGCTCTCGCCGCCCTAGCCGCCGTTTCGCCTGGTCCTGTTATCCCTCTCCGCCTCGCGTGTACTTCACCACCGTCGAGACCGTCGCGACGCTGGGCTCGTGGTCGCCAAGGTCAGAATACGTTTCCCGCCCTCGTGTGAACGATGCAGATGCAGTTCACATCCGCCGTAAGGATGCATTGCCTCGCCTGGTGAGGCTTCGGGCTTCGCACAAACAACCCCGCCCGCAGGTAGCCCCATATGGCGTGCACAGGCCCAGCTTACGGACACGTCCAGTGGTGCGAAAGGGTGGCGTTCTATCTTATAATATCTTACAATTTGCCAAACAATGGTTTGGAAGAGGAGGAGGAGGAGGAGGAGGAGAAGGAGGAGAAGGAGGAGAGAGATGATGAGGAGGAGAAACGGGAGGGGGAGGTGAGGGGAGGGAGGGAGGAAGGAAGGAAGGGAGGGAGGGAGGGAGACGGGAGGAGGGAGAGGAGAGAGCAGCAGGAAGGGCGAGGGAAGAGGGAAGGAGGGCCTGAGGTCTCCTTGAGAAACCCTCGCACGTTTTTTCCCCTCCCCCCCCCCAGAACCAAATGAAATCCCCTGAAACATCCTCATCGTCCTCCTGATAATGCGAGACGATATCCTCTTCCCCCTCCCCTCCTCCTCCTCCTCCTCCTCCTCCTCTTCCTCCTCCTCCTCTTCTCCTCCTCCTCCTCCTCCTCCTCCTCCGTCTCCTCCGTCTCCTCCGTCTCCTCCTCCTCCTCCTCCTCCTCGCCCTCCTCCTCCTCCTCCTCCTCCTCACCTCCTCTTCCCTTTACTCCTCTTCCTCCTCCCCCTCCTCCTCCTCCCTCCTCCTCCTCCTCCTCCTGGGCAGAGCGAGCGGCTACGGGCCCCGCACTCACCCTTGCGGCAGAGCTAGCCGCATCGTCGGGCTTCGGACTCACCCTCGAGGCAGAGCGAGCGGCTTCGGGCCCCGCACTCACCTCCAGGGCAGAGCAAGCCGCAAGAACCTACAGTTCGGCGTCTACCAGCAGCGGGGCCCACCATCGGATGCAGGAGGCCGCGGACGCGCGGGTGGCCGAGACCCTCCTTCCCGATGAGCGCGTCTCCCAGGCCGCCGACGGGTGGAGCCTGCAGGGAGACAGCGAAGGCCCCGCTGCACACGACGTTCGTGTACAAGGTCGCCGCTCGCCCATGGGGTGGGGCCGACCTGCGGCGCAGCAGAGAGCAGCCGACCAGCTCAAGCAGTGCGCTGGACAGTGGATCTCACGCCTGGACGCCGGCGATCACGGCGAGCACAAGTGGATGCGATGGTGCGTGCCCTACGTCATGGAGACCACGCACTGCAGCCTCCAGCAGGCAGAAGAGCTCTGCACGGAGGCTTGGCGAAGAGGGAGCCCGACGAGATGCGCTACCCTGATGCACCTGGCATCGCTTGCTGCACAGCCTGAGCATGCGGCCTGGCGGAAGGCGGTCTCGGAGATATGGGATGCAGCGCGTCGAGTCATCGAGGCTTTCCGTGCCACGCTCCAGGACCGAGCACCTTCAGACGAGCCGATCGAGTACTACTACGACGACGGTGTCGAGAAGTGGGACGCTGGTACCCCATCGACGGCTGTCCCTACATCGACGTGGGCGGGATCGCCGACAGCGACACCCTCATCCCCACCGGCGCTAGATGCAGCTTCGAACAACACACAGTCAGGACGCCCTTCGAGATCGAAGGAGAACAGGCAGGAATATTCACAAACGCGGCATGAGAGCAGCAACGAGGCCCACCATCGGATGCAGGAGGCCGCGGACGCGCGGGTGGCCGAGACCCTCCTTCCTGATGAGCGCGTCTCCAGGGCCGCCGACGGGTGGAGCCCTCAGGGAGACTGCGAAGGCCCAGCTGCAGAAGAGCATGATCCCTCTGCTGATTTGGACGAGTACCTCGATAGTGTACAAGCAGGGGACATCCAAGAGCCTCCAGCACATGGCATTGAGCAGGTGGCCGAGCCTGTGCTGGAGAAGGCGACGGTGGTAGAGCAGGTGGCCTCCTCGAAGCAGCAGCATCATACCTGGTTCAAGGCGGAGTCCAAGCGAGAGCAGGTGGCCTCTTTGACGAAGCTGGACGTGCCCAAGCTGATGAACCGACCTCGAGATGGTCGTCATCGCGTCTCGGCGCTGCACGGCAACATCACAGAGTGGGGCACTAAGATCCACAAGTACGTGGCGAGCCAGACGGAACTTAACTTGTGCATGTTCGTCGAAACTCATCTCAACGAAGAGCGCACCGCCGAGGTGCAGGCAGCGGCGAGGAAGGACGGTTGGAAGATGGTCGCCACGCCTGCCAGGACGAGTGGGCGATCAGTGACAGGCACATCTGCAGGTGAGGCCATCCTGGCACGCACCCATGTGGCGACTTCCTCCTTCGAGTACCTCACCAAGTACCGCGCCAGCGGTGCAGCTAGCCCCTTTCGCGGTTTCTCGGCCCTCGTCTGGCATTTGAAAGGGGGCAATGTGGTTATGATCTGTACCTACCTCGCTCCCAAGTTCGGGCTCACGACGGGGCCCAACGAGAAGACGCTGAGGGCGCTCGTCTCGTTCGTGAGGAGCTTGGCGGACCCGTGCGTGATCATGGGCGACCGGAACCATTCCCCATCGCAGATCGCGCAGGCCCGCATCCAGGAGTTCCTTCGGGGGAGGATGGTGCTGACCCCGCCTTGTGCCATCACATGCGACAAAGGGCAGGGCTCCATGATCGATTTCGCGATCGTCAGCGAGGGCCTGAAGGACAGGGTGACCCTCACCCCAGTGCTTGCAGTGCCATGGAAGACCCACTGCGGCATCGCGGTCTCGTTCGAGAGGTCCGAGCAGCCGATTTGGCACAGGAAGTTGCTGGTAACTTGAGGGTGCGACCGAGGAGATGGCACGATTGTCCCGAGCCCCCGAGGACGAGGAGATGGCACGTCGTCCTCTCGGCCCTCCTCCTCGGCCCTCCTCAGCGGCACGACTTGGCTCGGGAGATTTTCGAGGAGGGGGGACCCCAGGTTCAGAGGAAGAGGGGGGGTGTTTTCCATAGTAAAGCGGTTGTGGATCACGCTCTCTCAACATTGGCACACTCCTCACACGACTCGTGGCCCCTATCGGGGGCTCCACCGAAGACCCCAGTAGCATGGTTCGCATGCCGCCTCCCCTCTACTCTGGCACACCCATCACACGTTTCGAGGCCCCATGGGGAGCTCCACCGAAGGCCTCAGCGGCATGGTTCGCATGCCGCCCACCCTCCACATTGGCACCCCGCAAACGCGTCGTGGCCCAATAGGAAGCTCCACCGAAGGTCTCAGTGGTATGGTTCACATGCCACCCCTCCCCCCTCTATGTTGGCACACCCCTCGCACGCTTCGTGGCCCCATAGGGAGTTCCACCGAAGACCCCAGCGGCATGGTTCGCATGTCGCCCTTTTGGCACACCCCTCACACGTTTCGTGGCCCCATAGGGAGCTCCACCGAAGGCCCCAGCGGCAGCGACCGCATTGTGGCCTCGCCCTATTGCGGCGCACCTTTCGCGCGCTTCGTGCCCATAGAGAGCTCCACCGAAGGCAGTTCTCACAACGTCGGTATTCTCAACTGCATGTGGCTGGGTCGTTCGCCAGGATAGTGTGTTGTCTCTCTCTCTCTCTCTCTCCTTCTCCGATGTCACTTCGTCCTTCCTCTCTTTCTTCCACTTCCCCCGCCGGAGCCAGGTCACCTTCACGTGCGCTGGCGCGGGGGAGGTGCTGATCACGGGCTTGCTTAGGCCCTCCACGGATGATAAGGGAGTGCTAAGGAGATCTTCGCCATATTCCGCCCTCCTTCCGTCTCCTATTCTCTCCTGCCACTATCCACCGCTTCCCCCTCCTCCTCCTCCGCCTCCTTTTTTTTCTCCTCCTCATCCTCCTCCTCCTCCCAACCTGGACGAAGAAGGAAGGAGGACGAGGCTCGCGGCTCGAGGCGAAGGACGAGGGACGACGAAGAAGGAAGGGAAGCGACAGTGGCAGTGGCTCTAGTACCTACTCCTGATGCTCATTGTAGTAGTAGTAGTAGTAGTAGTAGTAGTAGTAGTAGTAGTAGTAGTAGTAGTAGTAGTAGGAGGAGTAGTAGGAGTAGTAGGAGTAGTAGTAGTAGTAGTGGTAGTGGTAGTAGTGGTAGTAGTAGTAGTTGTAGTAGTAGTAGTAGTAGTAGTAGTAGTAGTAGTAGTAGTAGTAGTAGTAATGGTGGAAGTCGTAGTAGTGGTAGTAGTAGTAGCACAGGTGTCGGAAACAATTAAGCAACACTCATGCAGAACATATGGTTGAAACCTCCGCCCCCTCCTTCCAAATGCAATGTTGGTTTCGCCTCTGCCGATTTTGGGCCTCCGAGCGGTCTTGCGAAGACCTGTCAATTTGGAATTGCGGGGGAGGGGGGAGTGTTGCTTAATTGTTTCCCTCAACCTTAGTAGTAGTAGTAGTAGTAGTAGTAGTCGTCGTCGTCGTCGTCGTCGTCGTCGTCGTCGTCGTCGTCGTCGTCGTCGTCGTCGTGGTAGTAATAGTAGTAGCAGTAGTAGTGGTAATAAGAGGAGTGGTAGTAGTATTAGTATTAGTAGTAGTAGTAGTAGTAGTAGTAGTAGGCGTCGTAGTAGTAGTAGTAGTAGTCGTAGTCGCCATCGTAGCCTTAGTAGTAGTAGTAGTAGTAGTAGTAGTAGTAGTAGTAGTAGTAGTAGTAGTAGTAGTAGTAGTAGTAGTAGTCTTAGTCTTAGTCGTAGTAGTATTAGTAGTAGTAGTAGTAGTAGTAGTAGTAGTAGTAGTAGTAGTAGTCGTTAGAGTAGTAGAAGTAGTAGTAGTAGTAGTAGTAGTAGTAGTAGTAGTGGTAGTAGTAGTAGTAGTAGTAGTAGTAGCAGTAGTTGTTGTAGGAGTAGTAGTAGTAGTAGTAGTAGTAATAGTAGTAGTAGTAGTAGTAGTAGTAGTAGTAGTCGTTGTAGTCGTAGTCGTAGTAGTAGTAGTAGTAGTAGTAGTAGTAGTAGTAGTTGTTGTTGTAGTAGTAGTTGTTGTAGTTAGTAGTAGTAGTAGTAATATTATTAGTAGTGGTGGTAGTAGTAGTAGTAGTAGCAGTAGCAGTAGCATAGTAGTAGTAGTAGTAGTAGTAGTAGTAGTAATAATAGTAGTAGTAGTAGTAGTAGTAGTAGTAATAGTACTAGTAATTGCTGTGGAAGTAGCAGTAGTAGGCGTAGTAGTAATAGTAGTAGTAGTAGAAGTAGTAGTAGTAGTAGTAGTAGTAGTAGTAGTAGTAGTAATAGTAGTAGTAGTAGTAGTAGTAGTAGTAGTCGTCGTAGTCGTAGCAGGAGTAGAAGTAGTAGCAGTAGTAGTAGTAGTAGTAGTAGTAGTAGTAGTAGTAGTAGTAGTCGACGGGGTCCACCCTGGCCTACACGAACCACGACGTGGACACCGACTGGAGGGACGTCCCACTCACGGACCTCGCCGTCCCAGAAGACTTCGATGAGGGGGGCCACATGCAGGCTGGCGGCGCCGGGGCCGCCCCGAGCGCCGCCACGCCACCCCCCTGCGACGAAGCCTTCCTCCAGAAGCAGGACCGCTACTTCAAGGAGCTTCTGACGCTACGCAGGCATGGGCTCTCTGCCTTCGACGCATTCCAGTTGATGCGGATCTGGTCGAGGGGCGCCTGCGTCCACATCCAGCGGGCGCCCCCGCTCGCGGCGGCGTGGGGCCGCAGGGTGGATGACGGAGTGGTCGCCTTCGTCAACGCCCTGCTCGGGGTCACGGCGGCCCCCAGAGAGCAGATCTTCATGAAGGTCAGCGACGGAGGCCTGGGCTGTGGCAGCGCTGAACAGCGTGGCCCAGCCGCCCTCCTGGCATCCTGGGAAGCTGGGATTCACGCGGCAGCCCAGGAGCTCCGAGAATCGACAACGATCGGCCTCTTTCGGAGGTGGCCAGGCCTTGGCCGTGCCCTCTCAGCAGCAGACGAGGAGCAGGGGCGGCTGGCTGGCGGCCGTCGCCCTCAGGGTGACCGCTGGCAGGGCCTTCTGGAGGGGCGCGAGGGAAATGACCAGAACACGTGCACCCAGCACGTGCGGGACCACATCACCGAGACGTTCACGGCCGCGCTGCCAGTGACGGCAGCGGCGGCGGTGCGCAGTGCCTCGGGCAGCTCAGCGGGCGCCCGGTTGGATAAGTTCAAGGGGGTCTCGCCCCTCGCCGACCGCGCGTTCTGCATTGCAGCCAGGAGGCGCATGCACCTGCCGCTGCTGCTGTCCGAGTGCACGCGCCTGAACCGACCAGCAGCGCCCACCCGCGCGATGGCGCAGCACGGCCCGACGCGCGGCCGCACGGTGGACGTTTGGGGCGTTCATGCGCTCAACTGTCCCAGGGGAGGCGGCCCGACGCGCCGCCGCAATGCCATTCGAGACGCCGTGGCGCTCTGGCTGCGCGGGGTGGGCCATCATGCCCCGTTGGGGCAGGTCATCCCAGAGTGGTGCACGGAGGAGCAAGGCGCGGCCACATTGGACGTGGTCTACCATCGAGGCATCCATGGTCGAGTTTGCCTCGACATCAGCTTGGCGGACGAGGTGGCAGCGGCTCAGACGGGGCGGCCGCGCCAGGCAGCCCTGCAGCGCAGAGAGAAATTGAAGCACCGTAGGTGCCCATTTTCGGGCCTGGTGCCCTTTGTTCTAGATGTCAACGGCCGCTGGGGTGCAGAGGCTGAGACGCGGCTGCGCCGTGCCGTAGGGGAATTGCCTGAAGCCCAACGGCCCGCGGCTCGTGCAGCCCTGCGCTCGGCAGTAGCCGACGCCCTGCAGGGCCAAATTGCGGAGCAGGTCGCTCTGGCGACGGAGGGCGCAGCGAGACTGGGTGCAGGGGCCGCCCCGAGCGTCCAGTCTTGACTAGCTGTGGCCCCGCCCCACTTGCATGTGAGTGCTGACCCTCCTCTCCCCTCTCCCGTTCCCGCAGCCCTGATTGGTCGTAGCAAAATCTCCACATCTGCAGCGTGCAAGGTAGTCTCTTTGTCGCGAGCACAATGCGCTATTGTAGTGCCATGTTTGGTCTGCGCGCCATGGTGCGTTGCCTCTCCGCTTTGTGCATGTTGTGGTCTCGGCATGTCACACCTTTGATGCTCGTTACCCCTGGCATGAGGTGGTCCCGCAGCCCATTTGGGATGAGCCGTCATGCAACCAATAGCACTTGTCCAAGGCCGCTGGCTAAAGAGGCGTCAAGAGGCGTTGAAGATCGGGGCCGCCCCGCGGGTCCTGGGGCCGTCGGCGGCCCGCCGTCCGCTTTGTCGCCCGCCCGCGACGTGGTTTCCTCGCCCCCCTCCTCCCTCTCCTGCCCGTCCAGGGCCCCGAACGGGGGCCAGGCCGTTTTCCGCCAGCATAACGAACGGGCCCCACACACCTGGAACCGTTGGCTTCGGCCCATAGTCTTCCTGTGCCACCTTTGTCCCGCCATGGCAGTTGGCCGCCCCATTTTGGTTCGGTGTACAGCCTCTCCCCTTCCCCTCTCCTCCCCGTCAACTGTTTGGCTCGTGAGTACCTGCCTCGCACATTCTCTCGAGCTGTACCTCCCGCGCCATCCACCCGACCAAGCGATGGCGCCCAAGTTCTCGAAGCTTGCGCCGACGCCGTGGCCCGCCAAGACGCGCGCCGCGGGGGGGGGGGGCACCGACCTCCAAAGCAAGGCCGACGCAGCGCCCTGTCCAGCAGGTAAGCTTGTCGGAGAGCGAAGGCGAGGAGTACGACATGGTGTCCGAGGCGGCGACCTTTCGGGCGGCACCGACGGCGCACACGGGATCAGCGACCCCCGCTGAGGACGCCGATGGAGGCGGCGGTACGGGGGCCGCCCCCAGCGCCGCCGCCTCCGATGGCGCCTCGGCGATGCCTGCATCGGAGGTGGTGCCAGTGACGTCAGCCGCCCCGGCAGCGGCAGCCACGTATGCCGACTTCACCACAGAGCAGCGGCGCGGGCTGGACGCGCTCACCCTCGCGCTCCACAACCTTCAGCTGAGGGGGCATGCTGTGGGTGGTCGTGGCGGCCGCGGGGCGCGCAGCGCGGCCGGCGGCGAGCGCGCCGTGGGCGACGGGACCGCCAGCGAGGCCCCGAGTGCTGCGACCACGGGTGCCCTCAGCGGCCGCGGGGGCAAGCGCCACCGCCGACGCAGCAAGAAAGCCGTCTACGGCCAGGCCCCCCAGTCGAGCGGCGGCGCGCCAGCCGCGCTCGAAGACGTAGAGATGATGACGGAGGAGAACTACGCTGAGGCGGGCTACGTCCACTGCATGGGCGCAAATTGGGCCCCGCCGCACCGCCTGGGCGGGTGTCGGAGGCGCACGGCGCTGGACGACTGGAAGATCATGGCGGTGGAGTACGTGGACGAGCTCAGCTGCGCGGAGATGCGCCGCTATGCGGAGGCCAAGGAGGGCAACGAGAAATACCCCGAACTGAGGAGGGGCAAAGAGGGGCAGTACAAGCTGTACATGTGCTCGAACTGCGTGGCGACGGCGGAGGGCATCTCCGAGCACGAGGCCGTGACGCGCGCTGCGCGCGCGAACAAGGGCCCAGGCTCCATCGACCATGCCGCCAAGCGGGTGGCGATGTTCCGTGCGAGCTTCGACTACATCAAGGAGGGCATGGACGTCCTGGTGGGGTTCGCGCTCTCAGAGGAAGGCTCGCTTGCCCTGCGGAGGTCAACGGAAGGCGTGGGGGCGGGCATCGACCCCGAGAGTACAGGCGCCCCCCCAGCCACGGAAGAAGTGGCGAGGGAGGTGGGCCGCCC